GCGCGGCGCGGCGGCCTCTCCGCCGGCATGGCCCGGAACACGCTCTCCTCGCGCTTCCGCCGCCTGGACATCGACGAGTACGACGAGAACAAGTTCGTGGAGGAGCCGGACGAGGCGGCGGCGGCGGCCGAGCCGGACCCGGTCCCCGAGGTGGAGGCGCTGCTGAGGCAATATCCTTCTGGGGAGCCCTGGGCCCGGCGCCGCGCCCGGCGGGGAGAGCCGCGCCGGGCGGCCCCGCCGGCGGCAGGGCCCCGCTTCCTGGGGGTGGGGCGCCGGGCCCAGTCTGCGGGGGGCTGCTCTTGTGGCGGCGCGCTCCGCGCTGCGGGGGAGGGGCGGGGCGGGGTCCGCGCGGGGGCCGCGCCAGGCCGGCGGTTTGACACCACCCGTCTCTGCAGAGCTAGTGCAGGAAATGGGGTTTCGCGGCGTGTCGCCTGCCTCGCTGAGTCTAATCCGCGCGAGGCGTTGTGGTCTGCGCTGACTTGCTGCTAGCTGGGGCTAGAAAGCCGCTCAGCCTCTTAGTCTGGAGTGTGACCCCGCCTCTGTTACAGCAGCGTCCCAGGGGAGCCCCCGGGAGGCTGCAGAGAACAAGCTGGTGAAGGGGCTGCCGGGCAGAGATTCAATGCTCCTTTTTGTTTGTAGTTGCAAAGAAAACTGTAAACCCACCTAAAGTGTAACCCAAGCCGTGATGTCTGCCTGAGGTTGCAGAAAGCCTGAAACACTAGCTCTGATGTGTGAACTGAAGCATTCCTTTCACTGGGCACTACTCAGATGCCGCTGATGATACTTTAAAAGTCAATATGATTAGCTGTTACTTTGCTCAGAAAAGCATGTATTAGAACGTGTATCATGCTATGAAGATTTACTGTTACTCTGAGGGGGATTTTCAAAGGAACACTTGGCAGAAAGCCATCTAACTCCCAGTTGACTTTCAATAAGTATAGGATGCCTAACTACCATTTGTACTGTTGAAAATCTCTCCTTTAGCAACAGTTTATATTGCATATGTCTTTTAACACCACACAGTCCATGGTTGCAGTGTGGGCATTATTGCCTTAAAGGGGGTGGGGGGTCTCATCTTTCAAAATTTAGTGTGAAACATGCATTTCCCAAAGTGCTTTTGTAAATTTAGTCATGAATATAAATTTGGTGAGATTAAGTAGCTGTGCAGGACTGAAAATACCTATAATTGGAGAAGTGTTAAAAGTATAATTTTTGATCTGTTCTGAGGTATTCCTTAATGCTCCTAGGTATGACTCATTTACATAGTTCCCTTATAACATCTGTTTAAAGCTAAAAATGCTTGGCTCCCCAAAATGTTATCTTAACCCATCTCTCCTTTTTTTAATCTTTGCCTTTTTGCTGACCAGTTTCATGAGTTCTAATTTCCATCGCACTTTCTGTTTACAAGAAATAATTAGTTTGTTCATCTTTATATGATACAGTTTGCAAAATTGAAAACTCCACTTGGCTGATAAAAGAAAGCAGCAAACATGGGAAATGAAAGCAAGCCCCAGACTATGCTTTAACTTTGATTATGATTGGTATCTCTTTGCCTGTGGAATTCTAACCAGATCCTGAAATCTGAAATAACCTGATTTATAGTTGCGGGTACTAGCTTTGCATATTGCAACACCAACAATTCTGTCATTTTTAGCAGTTTATGAAAGGGGATTATGTGAGATCTGATCTCAATTTTTGTAGCAGTTGGTTGTAATTCATAGTTTATATTGAATTGTTGATAGAAACATTGGAAGCAAATTAAGTTACCTAATTAGGGGTTGCAGACAGAAGTGGACAGAGTGCCTTATATAGAAGGAGAATGTTCCATTGCCTCATCCCATTTCTGAAATAATTTTTCAAGTAGGACAGTGTGTTTTGAAGTGAGTTAATTGAGCCAAACTGATGTAAATGTGCTTAAAATAACTCTGCCACCAGCCCCACTGGGACCTAACCCAGATTATTCCTTTTATTAAGGTTCCTGTTCAGAAGATGAAAGCAAGGAGGCTCCTTGACACAATATGTTTTTAAAATGAAGCCTACAACAAGTGTAGGGGGGAGAGAGAGCAGGATGGCCTCTGACTGGAAGGAGAAATAGTAGTTTTAGTTTGTCTGTGCATCTTAGAAAATACCAGTTGGAGTTGTGCAGATCTTTTTTCACAGTGTAACCTAGAGTAAAGTGTTTGATAGCCTGGGAGGCTTATGTCTTCCACCCACAGGCTTGCACCCATCACTAATATATATCAATAGTGACTGCTTTACCCATGTGGAGATGACAAAGTTCATTCTCCCCATTCACTGCTTGGATTCTCTGCTCAAACTGTTAAAAGATGATAATTGTGGTGGTTTCTGTGATGTGGGACTTCTCTCCATTAGGGGGCTGGACTAAGCCCCACCAAATCATTTCAGATTGGTCTGAACAGCCATCAGACCTGGGCTGGATTCTAGTCTGTCATCTAAAGATGCCAGGATCTGTATCTCATTACCAATCCTCTGCGCTATCTTGTATCCATATTATGTAGTTAAGATTCTGTCACTGTAAAAATTAAATTAGGCAGCAGGCCAATAAACTATTCTACATTGTATAATTTGATTAGTGACTAGTTGCAGTATGTGCTGATCTCTTTATATTGATCAGAATTCTTCCTGAGTGGCAGCTGTCACTTGGGCTGCTCTTCCTCACCAAATAAGATCGTTCATGAAGTCCTCCAAGATGCACTTTTCTATCTGAACAAGTGTTGGGAATGACTGAATTAACTATTTTATGGCAGCATTATTTCTTAAACCCAAATATGAAGTTGGGGGTAACACAGGACTGGCATGTATTTCAGAGAGGGGCTCTGCTATTAATTAAGGAAGTAGATTAGTTCATTAACATCCTGCTGTTACTTGTATTTATAAGCATGATAGAAATGAATAGCAAATTATTTGAGTTTTCCAGTTATAGTTGCCAGTATACCAAGTTACTTTTTAGGTGACTTTTCCCCCTGGATGCCATTCTTGTTACTTGGCATCCCTGGAACTGAGCAAATGAGAATGTTGGGTTGTAAGGTCAGATGGTTCCATAGCTCAGTTTGAATAACTGAGAACAAGCTTTGCTGATTTGCAAAGTTTTAAGTTTTGTGTGGTGAATGAGGAGGTTTCTGTTTTTATAACAGTGTCGGCTTTAGTTTAACTGACAAAGGATTTCCTGTCACCTCAGATGTGAACTATTGCTTTAAAAATTATAAGTGAAGAGGAAATTGACCTTGAAGCAAAATGAGCACTTGTTTGCAATCCTTCATGCTGTGCTGTCGGGCTTTAACAATCTTACTCTTGCGGTGTAGTTTCAGGGCTTGGGATCACAAAGTTAATTAAAATCATTGGGAACATAAATCTGGTGCTGATTTCTTTGGCATCTTTTATTTGTTTTTAAATTTATATTTAATTGCCTGATACTTGCGACTGTTCTTACTGTACAGTATAGAATTCCCTAAACTACCTAGCTCCATTACCACAATTTGACTTATGTAGAAAAGATAACATCTCTTCATTGGCAAAGCTCAGGTTTCCATACTCTCCTCCTGTGGGAGGATAAACTTTTTGATGCTGTTTCCTGAGATTCTCTACTGCATTTCAGTATCTTTTCCTGTGCATCTATAGCTACGCTTAGGATTTGCAGGAGACCGGATTGGATGCCTCCCAGATGAGGTATGCATGCATTCCCTTTCATAAATAGATCTGTGTAATCTGAATCTTTCCCATGCTGTCAAATATTGCTTAGGATACAACCAAGGCTCTACTATCTCTGTCTAACCTGGGCTGCTTCTTGCATGTCTTCTATGTTGTTAAATCCCATAATTTTCTCTCTACATACTGTTCAATGGAGGGATTCTTTTGGTTGACTCCTCTTAATGTTTCTTGAGTTGCCCATAGCAGATGCTCAGGCTTCATTCTTAACACATGTTCGATATTTTCTTCTTCTTCTATGGTTAACTTTGTAGATAAGGAGTAGTTCAACTCTGATTAATCTTGGCATTTGTAATAAATTCATTCCATTTAATATTTAGTATTTTCCTGGGGCATTTGTTTTCAAAGGCATTTAGATATTTGTCTGTAGCTTTGGTGGATTTCCTGCCTCCAGAACCATATGCAAGGTAAAAATGACATTTGAGTTGAAGTTGTAGTTTGGTTTTGAAAAGACTAAATCTTGTTTAAGCTGGTAAATGCAGCTGCCATCTTGCCAATTTATGACATTTTCTTCTGGATATCCCCAGTGGACGTGTTTTTATTTTTACAGCTAATCTAACATGGCTTCCTTCTGGACGCGGAGCTCTTACCCACCTACTTTGTGAATTCTAGCTTTAGGAGCTGTGGAAATCCTGCATGCCCTTTCTCAGCAAAACCCTATTGAAAGAATTGGGAATGCTTTCTGACTGAAGACAGGATAAGACCCTTTTTAGATTGTGTGCGTGTGTGTTCAGGTTACATGGACCCTGAACTCCATAACGCTATTTTGGAATTTCAGTGTCTACACAGTATCCACTGTGCTCTTTCTAAGTAATGTAATTTCTGTGGCAAGCTGGGATATCTCTGAGTTCATGGTGATGCTCAGCCATTATTGTGTACAGTATGGATAGTATTTAGAAACAGTGGTAAGAGTAAAGATCTGTTGACCGTGAACTGAGTTTCCTTTTGATGTGCACACTTTGACACTCTACTTTGCTACTACAACGTCTTTTGGAAATCAAGTATTTTGTATTACAAAGCAAATTGTGGTGATCTTTAGAATACTCAAAAGGCTATTCACAATAGTCTTAGCTATATTAAAAATGAGGGATATGACAGCCTTATCAGAAGGTGTGGTATGTTGCTACAGTTGATCCTTGCTTCCTGTTTCCACTATCTCGAGTTAGGTGTGTTGGAATATCCAATGCTCTGAACTGTCCTTTACAGAATGCTTATTAATCATCTTTAAGAATATCTAAACAATTTGGGTCCTTGACTTGCTGTGCTGCACAGGTGATATGCTCCAAGCTTTCCACACAGCCTTAAGGAATTCTCCCTTGAACACGAAGAACCAAGCAATAAAGGTAAATGAAGCCTCTGGGTTTCTAATTGTGTGACTGTTAGTTCACCTTAGGTACCTTAGCTGCCGACACACTGATCCTTATAGACCCGGCTATGGAGTATTAGTACACTTTAAAATAACATTTCTCTGAAAATATAAATAGCTGATCATTAATAACCTATTATGTGAACCACTTGTAAAATGTATATGCTGTATATTTGTACGTAGACACCCTTGATTAGTAACTGCTTCTGTTCAGTGGCTGGACCTTTACTATGCAAACTCTAGGAGAAGAATATTAGAAGCTATCCAATATATGTGGCTTCTCCACCTTGGTGCACACACCTGGCTGGATGGAGTGGGATAGCAAGTTTATGCTAGGGCATAGCAAGTGGGAGAAACTTGCTGCTAAGATACTTACAAGTCTGGTCCACTGACCCACCAAATCCCATCATGTTTTCTCAGAAGGAAACACTGACCCTTTTCAATCCTTAATGTTTAAAGAAGTTGGTTCTTAAATGCTCCTAAACTACTGAAATTTAAAATGGTAAAACTAAAGCCTGATGGTTCACAAACTGACAACCTTTTATATCCAGCTGACAGTTCCATTGCATGTTATCTGTTAGGCAGAAGTCATTAGCTGAGTAAATGTGCATTTTGGATACAGTTAAGATTTTGCTGGTTTTGCTCTTTGGGGCAATAGGTTCTGATGTCATTTTACTTCTCTTGTCGTTGCAGGAACGGGCCCAGGGAGTGGTGCTTAAGGTCCTGACATCCTTTAAAAGCAGTGAGATAGAACAGGCAGTAAACTCGTTAGACAGAAATGGTATTGACTTGTTAATGAAGTACGTTTATAAAGGATTTGAAAAGCCAACAGAAAATAGCAGTGCAATATTACTTCAATGGCATGAAAAGGTATGTCTCTCTTTCAGTGCTGCCTAAAGATGAAGTCACAGTTCAGTAGGATCATTGGTGGAAATCTTCTGAGTTTCTAAATGCTCTATGTAACAGTACCTATGCAGAATTATATAATATAATTGTGGTCAGTGGAGGTGCTGGAGGAGGAATCTGATGACAGGGCTACACTGTTTGGGAATTCATTTCCCTACTGGTCTGCCAGAGCTTGGATTCACTCACTCTTAGTAGGCTTCAAAGTCCAGCTTTTCTTGCATCCATTTAGGAAGGTTGGGAGTCCATGGAAGGAGGAATAAGGTGGAAGTATTATGATGTAGTTGGGTAGAGTGGTGTATTTTTCTTTGTGGTAGAATCTACCAACTAGGAACTTGTAAACAGAGACTTGATTAGTCAAAGTATTAGACTGGGAAAGTGATTTTTCTAATCTGGTGTCTATGTAGTGCGAGGGGCATAGGCCTCTGGATATGTGCTAGAGAAATACACACCTGCCAGAGCTTTCACCTGTCATACTCCCATAAATTGGCATCTGGATGTACAGGACTGAGCAGTGATCGTTGCACAATTCTACCTTGCAAGAGAAACTCTTGTGAAGTCTTGCAACTGAAAAGCTCCTACTTGGATCCACACTCCACCTTAGAGTTCAAGTGTGGAATGACTGCTCTGACGTGTACTATCCTGAGGCAAAGATCCCCTATGGAATGGCTGTTCTGTGATCCTACAAGGGTGTGGTGAGGGCCTTGCTGCCAACAGACTGTTTTGACACTTTCCTTCCTGCCACCCCTGGGTAGGGTGCATGTTTGAGCAGGCATAGGTCTGTATGGAATGATTGTTCAGCCCCTCTCCCAAGGGTAGAGTGTAGGTCTGAGTGTGGAACAACTGTCTTGAAAAGTCTATTTAAAGGAAGGAATCTCTTTAAATTCAGGGTACATCTACAACCGCACAAGGGATGTGTTCAGACCTTGAAGGCTTTGCCCTTTGGGCATGGACACACACATTTGCTGATGCCAACACAGCAGTGATACTTCGTAACTGCACTGAAGACTTCTGCAGCTGCCACTTGCTTTGCAGAATGTCATTTCAAATGTGGGGGTGGGAGGAGATGCTGTCATGAGAACATGTCAAAGAACATATTTCTGCTTGCTTTTTGTTTCCAATGAAAATGATGGTTTCTGGCTATTATGGATTGGTGGCCCATGGTGTATGAAATTACCCGGCATACTGCCTTGGCTGGGGAACTGTTACCACGCAGAGTATGCAGCCAAATGTAAAACAGCCTACACATATCACCAGACTTTGAAAGGAACGAGGCAGTTCTGAAGTAGAGTTGGCCCTGTTTCCAAACTGAAGCTTTGCTTGCATTCTACTTTATGGTACTACTGGTATGAAGAGTTACTCATTCATGGTGAGAGGAGTCGTCATCTGTCTAGTCCTTTGAGATCTAGCACTCCCTTTCAGTACCTTTTACATTCGTGTCAGCCCAGCTTTAGCAATAGATATAGAAACCATTCTCAGTTGTGACTTGGGTGCAAGTGGGTAAAAACTTAGGAATTCTTACACACCCAGCTTGTGCATTACACACAGGCTCTCCCACACCTCTCTTAGATAGATGCCTAAATTATAACATTGCACTTTCTAAGAGCAGCAGATGTTTGACACTAGTACTCCCTGCTCCAGGTTCTTAGGTTGTAATACTTCATAGGCTGCATTTTTATTGCATCTGTCAATTTAGTCTGCTTGTAAGTTTATCTGCTAGTCTTAATTACATACATATTTAGCTGTTTCTCCCAATCACTAGTATATCTACCTTTTAGACCCTAATGTAGGTACATTTTGGTTTGTTTGTACACAGGATATGGAACTTAGACTAAAAACAAAAGAACCTTGTTTCCAGTCAGAACTATGGCAGGTGACAGATTCTGTAGTTGTGGTAATGTCATACAAAGTTTTATTAATATCTCCAGTGGAATTGGTGATAGCTTTCTCTGTCCTAGAGTCTTTCTGCACCATCCCCTTAAATTTGAATGGTTTACAGGATGTCACTAGGTTACTGTCTGACAGTAATGTCTCCCTTAAGTGTCCTTGGGCTCTCTGATAATACAATAGCTTGTCTTACAGAACCAGGCCGCCTCAGATACTTGAGTACCTCGCAGTCTTCATTCTACCTATCACAACACTCTTGTGAAGAGTGAGATTATTATCCCCATAGTACAGATGGGGGAACTGAGGCATAGAGACTAAAGATTTGCCCAAGGTCCTGAAGGAAGTCGGGGCAGATTTGGGAATTGAATCCAGGTCAAAAATCCCAGTTTAGCACCCTAACCACTAGCTCATCTCTCCTTGGTGATTTGGGGAATAAGTTGTACCAGGGCCTAAAGAGTATAAACATAAGGCTTGTTACCACCAGAAGTTAAATTGTTCTGTAAGGTCACAACTGCAGGAGGTACCTGCACAGACTTTAGGTGAAAGCTTAATGTAACTTAAACAGTTCTATTAGGGTTAAATAATTTCCTGTTTCTATTAATGTTGTTCTTAAGAAGTTGGGATAAACTGTCCAGTAATATGTTCCCAATGTTTGGCTTTAGAGTATCTTTTCCAAAAATGGCTGCAGTTGCTGCTGACCCATTAGAATGTTCAACCCTTGAACCAGTAGCATAATGCCAAACTGTTATGTTTCCTTGGTAACACTAATACTAGATCCTGTGGGCATATTTCCTTTCTAGTGTCTCTGAAAGTGAGATTCCACAAAACGAAAACTGCTTTCTGCTTCATGTTCATTTGCAGATTTGTTACCCTATCATTTTCAGAAGAATTAACTTAAACAGTAATGTTAATTCCAGCACCTATTAAGGAAATCTATTTTTCATTAAGGAACCTTTTTTAAACAACTACTTCAAAGGTTTAAGAGCAAGAAAATGTAAAGTAAGAAGTAAATGCTTAAATAGTGAATAATGTCTGAATTTCAGGAGTTCTAGCAACAAATGGAAAAGTGAACTATATACTGATTGGTGTTACAATTAAGTACAGAAATGAGGTTAGCTAATATCTGCTGTTATGTTTGAGATGCCTTGTGTGTGTAATGGTGTGATTTGATGTGTAATATCTATCTCCTTTTCCCACCCTCACAGGCACTAGCAGTAGGTGGACTAGGTTCCATAGTAAGAGTTCTTACAGCAAGAAAGACTGTTTAAAAGACTTACCTTGAACCAAGATGAACAGTTTTGGACTCAGAAGAAAGAATTAGCTGAAGTGATACTGGTCCATCTTTCTAGACATTGCAATCTACTGAAACTTTGGAAACCTCTGGAATGCTTCTAATTTTAAAGGTTGGGGGAAAGAGTAAATATTACTGTGTTTTCTGACTATCAAATATAGGAGCTGAGACATTCTGATCCCTTGTTTAAAGGTAAAGCAGAAGGCAGAAATTCTGCTCTCATTACTGTAAGGGGAGAGGTAATTAAATCCTGTGTGTATTGCTTATTTAAAAGAAGAGGTGCTGTGGCTTCAGTAGACACAATTGACTGGTTTCTGGGTGGGGGGGAAATGTTTATTTGAAAGGGGACTTTGTACATACAATCACAGGACTAGCTGGACTACTGGTTTGGTTTCATTGTAAAGTGCCTGCTGCATCAATAAAGCTCTTGGATTGTAAGAGTCAAATAACTTAATTTTACAATTTAGATTAATTTGCCTTTGAATCAAGGGCAGTTTGTGTAGGATCCCACCTCCACATAGTATTGTGCTCTTGTTTACATCTACACCACCTTGACTGTCTCTAAAGGACATGCTTTAAAGTAGGGCACCTTTTCTTAAATGGATGGAATGAGCACCTCTAACTACACCTTTGCCTCACTCTGTGTTTACTTGAATGTTTTCTTTCTAGCCCTGATTTAATTTGTATGTATAAAAACAGGATTAAGTTAAGTGCCAAATATAATATATGGTGTTATTAAGGGTATCTAATGGAGGGCTCACTTTTTCTCTTTATGCCAGCTGAGCAAGGAACTACTTCAAAGCTTCATGTATAAGTAATGCTGTTATGGAAAATGTGTCCTTGCCTTTTATGCATTTAAGTACAGTGAGTGCTTGCTCATCTTCTGAATAGGAGCTCTCTGATGTTAATCTTTAAACAGAAGTACATTCACTCCCTTTGAAGTGGACCTTTTCTGAATAGTGTCCTGCTAATAAACTATCAGCACATCTTTAATGTACAAAGCTGTGTAGTCATCTGTGTGAGAGAAGATCCTGGCATGTTGTGTTAATGCTATGGATCATATAGCACCAGTCAAAAGCAGGGGAGTGTAGTTTAGCTTTAGGTAAAAAAACAAACTTGAAACTCAGTCCTGTACTGTAGTTATCTTTAGAAAACCCTATGGCAGACAAGACCAGAACTAGTACTGCATGGACAGTATCTGTTACTCTAGTAATGGGTTCTGCTGTGTGATTAAAAATTAAACTTAGCCTATAAAGTGGCTGGGTTCTTTAACTACAAACATATGTAGATCCTGCTTTCTCTGAGGACTAGGACTTAAGATGCAGGGGGTTAAGGTTGGAGGAACTTGTCACATGAAAGCACCTGGAACAAAGGCTTTAGGGTAAGTTATCAGTGCACAACATGCTGTCTTCTAGGTAAAGACCTCCCTCTTCCCCCCCCCCCCAGGGTAACTGAACTTAAGAAATGAGAGCTTGAAGGCTCAGCTCATGGGTTCTATGTAGTGAAGAGGTATTACAGCACTGCTTCAAGAACCACCTGTAGCTCCGGGAAGATGGCTTTTTAATCAGGTACTTTTCAGGCTAAAGAAGCCATGCAGGGATGAAAGGGTACTTAATTGTAACTACAGGGCAGCAGTTGAACTTGGGCTTTATAAATGGACCTCACAACCTTCAGTGAAATTTGGTCTCCTGCAGTAGGTGTTATGCTCCCCTCACTTGATGCACAGGGTTGTCAGAGATACAAGACACAGAAGGTAGGAAAAGAAAAAGCACACACTTAACTCATGAACCCTACTTTCTTATCAAGGGTAAGTATAACAGTTCTTCCCTCCCCTCCGTCAGTTAGCTCCTTTACATGTTAACTACCTGGTGCACTGACACTAGAATACCATGGAGCTTGCCCAATAAGATGACTAGAAGGAAGTCCAGAGTTTTAATCAAAAATATTGCACCACAAATTCGTTCAATTGTTTCAGAGTTCTATAATACAATCTATATTTACAACACAAAAGGAATAGATTAAAATCCCCAGGCAGCTATTCATAGAAAGGATTATATATACACCCCAGGAGCTTCTATAGAAGGAAATGAACATTAATTGTTAATATATACACCATAGATTATTCTTGCTGTGATAGTTAAAGAAAATTCAACACAGGAAAACTAACTCATGGTAAATTAAGGACCTTTAGGATTAAACTGAAGTTATGCTATTCAACAGATACTGTAAATTTCTCTAGCATACAGCTCACCTTGTTCCCTTTACCCTGATCCCCTAACCAGTTGAGACTGCTTTCCTTCATGTTAAACAGCAACCCATAGCAGATTAAGGAACAACTCAAACCAGCTTCTAAACAAGTCCTTGGGCAGCATGCTGGTAGTCACTGGTGGACAAGAACAGTAGGATAGGCATCACCATACTGGAACTTAGCTGCCCTAGATCCACTGTCATCAAGAGACATTAGCAAGGGTCTCTATTGCAATTGAGAATGTCTGAATTCCTTTGATATCTTATGGAAAGGTGCCATTCATCCTAAAGTAATTTTTATAATCACAGTAAAATGAACGCTTTAGCTCTAAGCACACACAGGCATAGCCCTCATTACTCCATTTGGAGAGGGAAGAATAATGGATGAAAGTCTCTGCCCCTTAAGATTCATTAAATTTTCTAATGTGAAAGCACATTACCCCAGTTAACTTACAATAACATACAAATGTAAAGGCAGCCCTTGAGCCCCTCCATTGAGAGTAATGTTGTAGATGAAGCTAAAGCCATTAAAGGTGTTTACTTAGGTATAAGGACAGAGCCTGTTTACTGAAAATCTTGTTGCTATTCTTCCCCAATAGAAGGGTAACGTGATTCATTCCACAAGATTTATAAAACTCCTTTTAACATTACTCCTACTAGCACAGGCCTACTCCTGCACCCTCAGTAAGGTTAAAATACTACAGTGACTCTTTATGGTAAGACATTCATAAGCATTTGGTCTAAAATTCTCTTATGTATATGTTGAATTTTCATTAACAAGATGTATTTGATAAAAATACTGTTATTCAGCAAGAGCCTTTGTGCAACTTGCTGCCTGTTTAAGTTCTATATTTTCTATGTAGTTTTTATAAACACTTCAGTTTTTTTTTTAAACAAAGCCAGACAAATTGCTGCTTCCCATTTTTAAGGTAGTTTGTGGTTAGTGACTAAGGGAAAAATTCTACTCCAGCTCTGTAGGGCAGATCAGGGCTTAGTCTGTCCTTCCTCTCCAGGGAAGTTCATAGTATTCAAGCCACAATCTGCTGCGTACAAGCTGAATTCTGCCTTTACATTAAAAAGACTAACATGCTCCAACTAAAGAATAGTATGTCAGGAAAGAGCTAATAAGCCCACTACCTTAAAATCAAAGCAAATTTAGTTGCAGGTAAATGTAAAGTCTGAAACAGATCCAGTCAATACTGCTTTAGGGGGAAGCAGATGTTAGTTATAAAAGTCTGCTGCTAGCAAACTTGTAAAGAAAAAAAAAAATCAAAGGTATTATACTGACGTTCTTTGCCCTTTGTATCACTAAGATTTTTTTCCTTTCAATAAGAACTCTGGAACTCTTCTTTTAATTATGTTTACAATAAACTGAAATTCAGCTTTAAAAAGTATTTAAAATGGTTTACTACTTCTCTTCCCAACACTAACAACCTATGATACAGACTAGTACATTAGTTTAAAAGGTGACTGAGTATTAGGTACTATAATTAAGACCATTTTAAATATTAATTTTTTCTTTAAGAAAAGTAAAAATCAGACAACTATAAAGTTGTGCTCTCTCTCTGAAAATTAAATAAATGTCATTGTGCAGTTTTCATGACCGCAGGCCAGGATATATGCACTGTAAAATTTACACAGTGATATGAACAAATGCTAACAAGTTAGGTCAGTATAACAAGGCAAGACTTTGTTTTTGGTTATACCCCTTGTTCGTGTTCTCCAAAAAGCTTTTAGAACAGTCAGGAATTGAACACAGGACCACCAGCAAACACCCCTTCATTGCCACCTGTGCCCAATGAGAAAGGGAAGCTTTACAGTATGTACCTAGAGTTATGCACCTTTAGTATTTCATGACAAATGTAAAATGTCAAAATCCTGAACCGCCACCAATGTTTAGTGAAATTAATATAACCCTTTGATGCCAAGACACGGGATTTATGAGCATAAGGAGATAGCTGTTACACAGCTAACAGGACACTGAGACAAGAGTCCCTGAATCCACCCCAGAGAGAAAATTTCAATTTGCAGTGAAGGATGCTGCTTGTACAGTATATCTTTGTAAACAATTAGTCAAAATTCTTGTACAAAATACTGCAATGACAGTGATTAAGACACACCTGAACTAGTGTGTGAAGAGTCCTTTTCACAGAAAAAAGAGGCTAGATGCTTATTGCCCATTTTCCAGTTCCCTTAAGACCATGCTGTCCTGGGATTCGAGATGGATGGCCGGATACTGCCTTTGGGAGATGGCTTTGACCCAAACCACGACATCTGGCATGGGAAAGCACAACACACATTAACCTAGACTCTTCTTTTAAATCATGAGGAGTATGAATCACGAATAACCATGTAATGCAAAGTGCAGCTCGCTATGCCCTTGGGTACAGCAGCCAGTGATCACTACCACATGAGAAAAAGAGCAGAGACTAAAATAAACAGAGATTAAACAGCACAAATCATCTGTGGGGTGGTAGTGGGTCATTATTAAATGAGATTCAGGCACAAAACAGCAAACTGACTGGGGCTCGGCTGATAGAAAATAAAAATGACAATTGTCAGCAAGAGGATGAAATGGCAAACTACTCAAAAGGTATGTTCTTGTTTAATCAACATGTAATTTATCTGCTCTAAACATGCTTAAATGTTTGTAAACACACTGGTCTGCTAATTGCATGAAAACAGCGATTGTCAGATACAGAACCTAAAATTTGGGAAATATGTTGCTGAACATCCTCACTGTTTTGTGCTGGGACATCTAGGAGAGGACACAAATAAAAACAAATCTTACCTTGTATTCCAACGTTTCTTTGAGCATATTTTCTTCCTCTTGTGAAAAGTTAAGTAACACGGACACAGCTTTAATTAGGTGGAATGCCTGAAATAAAAACAGAGTTGTTGACATTTTGCAAGACATCCCAGCGCTTTAGGTCCACTCTGGGATTATGGGGTAGCACTGAGGATCTGTGCAGGTTTGGTATGAAGCCTCTGTATCCTATCCCATTCACAGGTGTGGATTGTGTAAACTCACTTCCTGTGTGTCTGGCAGGTGGCTTTTCTTGATTCTCCAGTCTCTGTTGTGGTTTGCATAGTCTGGGGGAAGCACTTAATTTACCTGGTTTATTTGAATGAAGAATACACTTGGTTCCCATGGTAACCCTGAGTAGTTCCTAGGATTAACCAGGCTGGTGTATAGGCAGGATGGAGACATACAATATCCTAATGTATCTTTAGT